CTGCTGGTTCCCTGTTTTTAGATTTTGATGATATATTTGTGCTGAGGTATAATTTATACTAACAAAATTTAGCCTTTTAAGTGAATAGTTCTATTTTTGTTGTTGTTGAGAGAGGTTTTCACTATAGGGCGCGTGCACTCGCCAGACAGACAGAGAGAGGCAGAGAGACAGAAAGCGAGAAATCACTCCCCAGGGGGGATGGCCACGCTGCAATCCCTTCTCCTCCATTCTCTTCTTGGGATCTTGGGCATGCATGCACACGCGCCCGGTGTGAGTTTTAAGTCACCTAGTCCGGGACGCGAACCACGGTCGACTACTTGGGAGTCCAGCGACATAGCCATTACACTAACTGCTGGTCCCTGAATAGTTCTATTTTGATAAACATATACAGTCTATTACACTACAACATGTAGAACATTTTCATCTTCCCAAAATTTTCCTTTAATGAACCTCTCCCTTCTACCATTAGACTCAGACAACTTTGAATCTATTTTCCTTCTTATAGTTTTGCCTTTTCTGATGTCATACAAGTGGCATTATAGAATATGTAGCCTTTTGAGTCTGACTTTTTTTAAAGAATTATTTTATTTAATTATATTTATTCATTCCTTTATTTATGTATTTTTAAAAAATTAACCAGAGAGAGACACAGAGAGAGAGGGAAAGTGAGAAAGTAAGCCACCAGGTCCGGGACTCAAACCATGGTCTTCCATGTGAGAGTGTCCAGCACCTTAATCACCACACCATCTATTGGTCCCTGAGTCTGAGTTTTTTCAAAAACCATAATGACTTCAGTAATTTCTTATTTAATTTGTACATATATTATTACTATTAGAAGAGGAAAATGAGGTTTAGGATGTTAAGTAACCTACTCAAAGCTATAGTTAGTAGAAGACAGGAATTTTGTTCTGGTTCTATATGTTTCAAAGTTGGTGGTTCTTGTCTATGTTATATTGTCTTCTGTTAGTCTCTAGCTTCTTAAACTCCTTCTACCAATTCTGGAATTTCTGTCACTATTCAGCTGTCTCCTCATGTAATCAAAGACTCAAATAGCTAAGAAGTCATTTGACATAGGAGCCAAGAGAGAAGTTCTGAGCAAAATTCTTGTCATGTTCTGCCATGCTGATAGAGCAGCCACCAGTTTACCTCGATACAATTCACAATTCAGCTCTTATTTGTACCAGATAGTGTTGTGGTAAGGGGTATGTTATAAATATTGTTTTGTTTAATTCCTACAATGGTCTGGAAACCTATTAATTACCTTTATAGATAAGCTAAGACACAGAAGCACCAAGCAGCATCTAAATGATAGAACAAGGACTTCAGGGAAGCCTCTCTCTCTCCAAGTCTGAGCTCTACCTACCAGGCTGCTGCCTCCCACAGAGGAAGTTGTCATTTACTGCCAGAAAATGTGCTAGACAGTTTCACCTACACTACATCATTTAATTATTACAAAAGTCTTGCATAAAGATGGTATCATCTCAGGAACTTTTCAGAATGCTCAGTCAGAAGCTGAGGAGCAGCAGCTGTCCAAGCTGTGCATAGCTACATGCACCTTCCCACTACCCCTCACTGGCCTAAGCCAGCTCACCGGCTGTAGAAAATGGTGAAAGAAATGACTTACTATGATGTTTTGGGGGTCAAATACAATGATACCCAGGAAGAATTGAAGAAGATTTACAGGAAACTGGCCTTAAAGTACCACCCTGATAATCCAAATGGAGGTGAGAAGTTTAAACAGATTTCTCAAGCTTATGAAGTTCTCTCTGATGCAAAGAAAAGGGAATTATATGACAAAGGAGGAGAGCAGGCAATTAAAGAGGGTGGAGCAGATGGTGGTTTTGGCTCCCAATGGACATCTTTGATATGTTTTTTGGAGGAGGAGGAAGGATGCAGAGAGAAAGAAGAGGTAAAAATGTTGTACATCAATTGTTGGCAACCTTAGAAGATTTATATAATTGTGCAACAAGAAAACTGGCCCTGCAAAAGAATGTGATTTGTGACAAATGTGAAGGCCAAGGTGGTCAGAAAGGACCAGTAGAGTGCTGTCCCAATTGCCGAGGTACTGGAATGCAAATAAGAATTCATCAGATAGGACCTGGAATAGTTCATCAAATTCAATCTGTATGCATGGAGTGCCAAGGTCATGGAGAACAGATCAGTCCTAAAGATAGATGTAAAAGTTGCAGTGGAAGGAAGATAGTTCGAAAGAAAAAGATTCTAGAAGTTCATATTGGCAAAGGCATGAAAGATGGCCAGAAGATAACATTCCATGGTGAAGGAGACCAAAAACCAGGACTGGAGCCAGTAGATATTATCATTGTACTAGATCAGAAAGATCATGCTGTTTTTACTCGACAAGGAGAAGACCTTTTCACGTGTATGGACATACAGCTGTCTAAAGTATTGTGTGGCTTCCAGAAGCCAATTTCCACTTTTGACAACTCAACTATAGTCATCACCTCTCATCCAGGTCAGATTGTCAAGCATGGAGATATCAAGTGTGCGTTAAATGAAGGCATGCCAATTTATCATAGACCACATGAAAAGGGTCTCCTAATCATTGAATTTAAGGTAAACTTCCCTGAGAATGGCTTTCTGCCTCCTGATAAACTCTCTTTGCTGGAAAAACTTTTACCTGAAAGGAAGGAAGAAGAAGAGACTGATGAAATGGATCAGGTAGAACTGGTGGACTTTGATCCAAATCAGGAAATATGGCACCATTACAATGGAGAAGCATATGAGGATGATGAACATCATCCCCAAGGTGGTGTTCAATGTCAAACCTCTCAATGGAGCCAGTAAATAACACTGCTGGCATTTTATATACTGTAGCGAATGAGTGAAGGATTGTAATTATAATATGCTCACTAGTTGTTATTGTTTTTGTTTTAATATTCATCTATGGCAGTGTTATAAAAAGTTAAATGAAGAAAAAATGCAAATATAAAAACTGACTTTGCCCTGTATGTATGATGACTACAGTGTGCAAGATGCAGTTTTAATAGCTGTAAAAACTACAAAGTTCTCCTAGCATTTGTTAGGCCATCCCTTGTCATTGATTTCAGCTATGTACATGAATGAGCTTAGACTAAAATGCTAGATACATGTATTGATTTCAATGTATGACCCCTCACTGTCAAGGTATGAAATTAAAATCCTGTATATAACTAGTAATCAGAAGGAGAAAAAAAGTTTGTAGGAAAGTGTGTGATGGTCTGTATGGTTATTTGTATTAAGTGAGACTCATTGTGATGCCTCTGCATTTATTCTATTGCCTCAACTTGAAGATGGATGGCATAATATAATTTAGCCTGTGGCATCAGTGATAGAAATGATACCTTTCTAAAGGATTTTATCATAATGTGCTGCTTCTTGAAGGCTTACACCTCTAGAACTGCATTCCCTTCGGTTGTGTCATCATTTTTTTTAGTATACATATTTATACACACACACACACACACACACACACACACACATATATATATAAAACCAGTCCTGGTTACTTCCAACTCTCCCATCTCCCTTTTCTTTGGACTATGAGAAACCCCCGAGTAGTAACTTCTGGAGCTGGGTAACTTACAAAGTGAAACAACCTTTACATGGAGAAGTAATTTGCATGTGTGATATAGAAAGGTGTTATTAGGTATTACAGGTTTACTTTAAACCATTTAACTTATGCTCCAAAGTAACCGTAATTTGATGTTGGTAGAATAGCAGATTATGATGAATAGCTTTAACTGTATGTTATAAGGTCATATGTTCACATGCTTAAATCTGGGTTAACAGAATTTAAGCAATTCTTGAAATGTATGAATGTCTCCTTAATATACTGATTACAAAGCAAAACAAACAAACAAAAAAATATGGTATCATCTCATTTTATATAGGAGAAAAATGATGCTCAAAAGGCTTGAGTAATCTGTCCAAGTTCACATAACTAAAAAGGAGTCAGAATTTTGTTTCAAGTTCATCCCTTTTCATTATTCCATGAAGCAGTGTACCGGGAAAAAGGAAAGGAAAGGAAGGAAAGAAAGGGCAGAAAAGACTGTAACTATGCACTCCTTGTATGGTTCAGTAGAATTACCTTTACTAAGTTTTTCTCTGTTAGTTAAAAAAAGGAAAACTGCACAAAGAAATGTGCAATAATATACTTCTTCATTAAGATGTGCATCTGCATATGTAAATACTAAGAACAGTCTACAGAAGGATGAACACCAATGACATTAATTGTTTCTAGAATGAGGAAAAGGACCAAGATTAGGACATGGTCAGTTTTATTTCTAAAATTTCAATATTTACAAAAAAGCAGACATTTATATGTTATTTATCTAATTGAAAATATTTGTTTCTTCTCTTTCTATTTTCTTTATTGTGAAAAATGCCTCTCTATATACATTTATTACATTATGTCAGTCTCATAAAAATCTGGTTTGGTGTTCATTTATTTTTCTATACTCTTAGAAGTAGGTATATATTAAAAATTATCTATGTATTTATAAATTCACTGTACCCAAGAGACATAGGTTTACCTATTGTTTAACAAGAATTTAAGGAGCATATCTTGAGTTATATTATGTATATATTTTTTAAGAATACCTGGTTGTTTTTATTGAGAGCTTTCATGTGATGAGTTCTTTAAAATATTCATATGCCTACCAGTAATCTTTCTTAAATTCTTAATCCTAGTGCATTCCTAAAACATTTCTCATTCAAATTCTTGCAACAAGTTTCTTCTCCTTTAACAAAATTAGTCAATACCAAATATATATATAGCTTTCTTGCTGGGGCTATGCTGTCTCTGTTTTCTTCAAGCTATTCTGAGTTGAGGCTTCTCTGTTCAGACTTGTCAAACTAGTTTCATTTCAATTACTTATAATTTGTTTCCTTATTTCTTCCAGTTGCAGATCTCTAGTGTATCAAGAGATGTCACACAGTTGATTAGAAAGTTGAGTTCGTGGGTACAGACCTGCAAGATCATATTCTTCCTCCTGTCAATGATGTATCGGTAAGTTTAGTTTTCTCTTGTAAATGGCTTATTTGTTGTACTGTCTGTCAGTGGTTAAATTCCCGACTTCTCAAAGGACTGCTGCTGAGGTGTCCTTAATGGATTCAATCTGCATTTGATCTTGTAAGATTTATAGAATCGTTACAGTAGCCTAGATTAACTACCCTCTATCTGTGAAATAAATATTTTTGTATTAAAAGAAAATCACAGTTAGCATTATCTCAAGGGACCAAGATTAATATTTCAGATTTTTAAAGAACTTAATGAAAAACTACAGGATTCTGTGTCCTAATTGATTCTGCATTTTCAAGGGGAGTGTATTTGTTTTAAAATGAGGCTCCTTTTAACAGTCTGATACGACTTGGCTTCTACAGTACTTCCTTCAGCTGATTTACCTTCCCTTATGGTTGGTCCTTGTGGACTAATGGGAAGTCATCCTGCAAAGACACCTGCTTCCATTGTAGAACCCTAGACTTTCCAGGGAGTAGAAAATGGGAAACAGGAGAACAAGACTGGGATCTAAAAGTTCCTACTTTCTAAAATTTCTCCTATTAAACATGGAAGAAAAAAGAAAAATGTGAATAATTTGAAGTTTTTTCTTTCAAAATGAGTTTTAGCATATGCAATGAAAAGGAAAAAATAAGATGTTCTGGCAGAACTTTGTAGACAATTAAAAGTGATTTTGAACAGTTAGGATGATAATATTATTTATGAACATTGTTTAAATTTGTATCATTTTCAAAACATTTTTATGTATATTAGTTCCTTTAATAGCCCACAGAGCTTTGTAAGCTCAGTAGAATGGGTATTAACTCCCATTTTAAGGTAAGGGATCCAAGGGGAACTGAAGACAAGGGACTTCTTTGGGTCTGCAGGATTGTCAGAATCAGCTATAATTCACAATAAAATCCAGACTTCCTTATGAATTACTACAGCTTCTCTAGGTTGGAAGTATACTCTAAAGTATACTCTTAAAGAATTTCAGAGATGAAAATTTGATACTAGGTTGGCCACTTATTGAACTTTATTGAGCTTTATTCCCTAATCATAAATTACATGTTTGTATCAGTCCCTTAGTGAGCACATAGTAATTGTCAAAGGATCTGTAATCCAGGGTTTGGAGGATTCTCAGGAATGGCAGGTCACACTAACAGACTTGAAGTCTGAGACAAAGCAGATGCTTCACAATTACTATGACATCTTATGTTGCACCTATACTCATTCTACAATATATTCCATCGTCATGCTCACCATTCTTATTTATCCATTAAAAAGAAACATAATTACGAAGTCATATCGAAATATATTTGATTCATGGTCTTGCCGTTTCTGCTATCCAGAACCTTGGGTCTATTCTCAATAGGTTTTGTGATTTTCTTCTCTGTTGTAGATATTATTTTTAATGTTTCTAAATCTTTGTTTGCATTTACTTTCTAAAATACTCACATCCTTACTGTTTTGTATAGATTTATTAATTTGGTGATTCATTTCCTTGAAAATCTTGATTATCTCCTTTAGGAAAGAGTAAATGCCAGATTACTTTACCTAAGATTGTTATCCTGTTCCCATAAGTCTAGCATTTCTCTCTCCTTATATCTCTTTATGTTATATGCATTGCTTAAGAAATGCACAATATAAATAGAATTCCTCCACTTCATTATTACCTTTGGAGAAAAAGGTAGCCTGGGAAAGTCCTTTGCAAGCATTCATGTTTTACATTTTAATATCATTACACATAATCATTTCAATTGACTTGTTAATTTGCCAGGACCATTCTCTAATCTACTTTAAAGCTATATATATTCAGAGTTAAAATCAAAATGACAAAGCAAACCTGCATATTAGTTATAGAAGATTAAACTTGACAAAGATTTTTAATATTACCTTTTCTGTTAGCTTCCCAGCAAATTCATAGTACTTACTGTGCCATGTGCGTATTATGTTAAATTAGTTCATTTAATTCTCACAACAATCCTACAACTTGGGTACTATTGTTACCTACATTTTACAGAAGAAAGTAACTAGCCCAGCATCCAAACTAATGAAGAACTGGAATTTAAACCCAGGCATTAACATCAAAGCTTGAGTTTAACTACTAGGATACACTTATTTTCTTTCTACTTGATAATATCCAAGAGAAAAATAAGCTTCTTCCTTTTTTTCTTTTTTTAAATTTTAAATTTGAGTGAAAGATTCACAGTGCTAGTCCCTTGAGAGGGTCCTATCTATAGGCAATGAATGAATATACATGTTCATATCGTTGACATTTAAAGACTGATTCATAAAATTCTCTCCTTGGTTTTGCTTTCCTTCTTTATTAGTTGCCCTTCATAGAGAAATAATATTTGATAAATAAAAAAGAGATGATAGTAGATATGTGTATAAAGGACTTGAAAATCAGGGTTGCAGTAATTAATGATCAGATAAATATATGATTGCACAGTGGGTGGTGAAATATTTATAATCATTGGAAGCTGCTATTTATTATCTACTTATCAAATATGAATCATTTTTGTATGCCTTATTTCATTTATTTTTTTACAATCCTCACATGAGTTAAGCTCTGTGATCATTCCACTTTATATGGAAAAAAAGGTGCCCAAGATTATAACTGAATTTAAAAAAAAATTTTTAGAGGTTTTTGCCTTAGGGCACATGCACTCACACAAGTGAGAGAGACAGAGACAGTGAGAGGGAAAGTGAGAAATCACCCCCCCAGGGAGGATGGCCATGCCACACTCCCTTCTCCGTCATACTACTTCTGGGATCTTGGGCACACCTGGCACACCTCACACACACACACAGACGCATCCAGGGTGAGTTTCAAGGCACCAGGTCTAGACTTGAACAGCAGTAGGCTTTGTGGGAGTGCAGTAACATAACCACTATACCATCTGCTGGCCCCAGAGATCATAACTGGATTTTAAACTAAAGTTATCCACTCCTTCCTATTCCTAACATTTTCATAGATATGACCCCCTGGTGATACATAAGTAATAAAACATTTAAACAGTATATTACCAAAGGCGTTCACATTCAGAATCAGGGCTAGGAGGTCAGACAGACAAACCTTCCCTTCCCTCAGCATTGTGACCTGTGGTTGCTTTTTCTTTCTGAACCTCAGTTCCTTGTTAATGAAATGGTAATGATAAGGCGTATTCTTATTCCTGTGACAATGATTACATGAGATCACCTATATGAAAACCTCTGACTCAGAGCAGAGTTCGATATGTACTAGGGTCCTTCGTTTACTCACTTTATGAGTTCATCTCTGGGTAGTATTAATTACCACCATTATACAGGTGGGAAAACTGAAATTCAGAGAGGCTTCATCAACTTCTTGATATTAGAAAAGTAAAAATTACAAAGCACCTTACTGATGCTTACTTCAAGAAAAAGAAACTGTGGAAGCCCAGACACCAGGAAGGTGAGATCTTCAACACAGAGAAGGAGAAATACAAGATTTCAGAGCAGCGTGAGGTTCATCAGAAAGCTGTGGACTCACAAATTTTATCAAAAATCAAAACTGCTCCTTAGCTCCAGGACTACCTGTGATCTGTGTTTGCCCTTACAAATGGAGTTTATCCTCAGAAACTGGTGTTCTAAATTTTTTTGCCAAGAACCTAATTAAGTAACTGATCGTTTTTTTTAAAAACAAGATACATGTTAAGGACTGAAGCCAAAGTCTTCTCGCACTAAAAGGTAGTGTACTACCACAATAGCTTATGAAGATTGGTTCAGAAAGGTGAATAATTAGAGAACTTTTAAAAATCTTTAGCTCTTACTTTTGTTAACAATGTAAATTTGTCATTTGTGCTGTCTTAAATATCCACAGGAAAAAAAGTTTACAATACTTCTTTCCAGTCTAAAAGCACAGATTGAGATAAAACTATGGAAGCTGAGGTAGAAACCATGTCTTACTTACTTTAAGCCCAGTATGATGCTTAAAACATGGTACAGGCTCAATAAAAGGTTGTGAGAAACAAAAATGGATAGCTAAGTGGGTGGATGAATGTATGGAAAGTTGAACAAATAAAGGAACACAAAAAGATAGAGTAAGAATCATTGTAATGGCTGGTAAATTCTTGGAACTAGTTTGTTGGGACATACTTGTGTTGTAAAAGGCTTTGATACGGGTACCTAAATACAAAGAATTTATTGTGCATACATATATATCACCCCAGCCTAGGCCTTAACCTTCAATCTGATATACACCTTACAAGCTTTAATAGGTAGAGGTCTAGACTTGAACAGCAGTAGGCTTTGTGGGAGTGCAGTAACATAACCACTATACCATCTGCTGGCCCCAGAGATCATAACTGGATTTTAAACTAAAGTTATCCACTCCTTCCTATTCCTAACATTTTCATAGATATGACCCCCTGGTGATACATAAGTAATAAAACATTTAAACAGTATATTACCAAAGGCGTTCACATTCAGAATCAGGGCTAGGAGGTCAGACAGACAAACCTTCCCTTCCCTCAGCATTGTGACCTGTGGTTGCTTTTTCTTTCTGAACCTCAGTTCCTTGTTAATGAAATGGTAATGATAAGGCGTATTCTTATTCCTGTGACAATGATTACATGAGATCACCTATATGAAAACCTCTGACTCAGAGCAGAGTTCGATATGTACTAGGGTCCTTCGTTTACTCACTTTATGAGTTCATCTCTGGGTAGTATTAATTACCACCATTATACAGGTGGGAAAACTGAAATTCAGAGAGGCTTCATCAACTTCTTGATATTAGAAAAGTAAAAATTACAAAGCACCTTACTGATGCTTACTTCAAGAAAAAGAAACTGTGGAAGCCCAGACACCAGGAAGGTGAGATCTTCAACACAGAGAAGGAGAAATACAAGATTTCAGAGCAGCGTGAGGTTCATCAGAAAGCTGTGGACTCACAAATTTTATCAAAAATCAAAACTGCTCCTTAGCTCCAGGACTACCTGTGATCTGTGTTTGCCCTTACAAATGGAGTTTATCCTCAGAAACTG